AGCAATCCTCTGTCCACCACTATGACTGCAGGGCACGGAAGGAGCTCATCTAAGCTCTGAGCAACTGTTAAGCAAAGAATGGATCCTATGAAGCCGCACATCTATGCAGACCCACTGGCACTGGAATGAATAGCAGTCTTAGCCTGGAGGCTCCCACCAGACCACGCCCCAAACTTGTTTCTCTATGCCCCTCCGAGCTTAAACATGAAATGCGCTGGAGGTGTGGCCTGGCGGGAGCCCAGGCCGAGTCTGCCATTCATTCCAATACCAGTGGGTCTGCATAGATGTGCAGCTTCATGGGATCCATCAACTGATTAAAATTACATCTATTACAGAGAAATAAAGTTTTTTGTTTTTTGTTACTGTATCTGCAGGAAAAGCTTACAAGAGTGACAATGGGGCATGCAAGAAACCACAGGGTGTGTTGATCCCAAAGAGATCTCTAGAAACAGAAATGTTGCAGCTTATGTAACAGTTGTATTTTGCAGATGTGTGAAAGAAAGTCAGGGAAGTGGAGTAGGAACCTAAAAGTTAGAAATACTGCAGCATACCCTGTGCTAGACTGTTAGATGTACTCCAGAAATGTTGCAGCAAATGTGAGAAGGGCAGGTTGCAGCAGACATACAGTTGTGTTCAAAATAATAGCAGTCAGACATCACTAACCTGATCAATCACTGTTTTTGGTAGAAATGATATTTCTACATGGCAAATAATTTACTAGCAGGTATAGTAGAGTAGTATAGTATAGTATAGTAGAGTAATAGAAATCCAACAGACCCAGCAGTCATGACATGCATGCTGCTGATTCTGTGTAATTGAATCACTAATTGAAAGGGGCATGTTCAAAATAATAGCAGTGTGGAGTTCTATTAGTGAGGTCATTCATTCTTTGAAAAACAGGTAGCAATTATTGCCCTTATTTAAGGAAGGAAGGCAGCAAATGTTGTACATGCTGGTTACAGTGCATTTCTCTCTGAAATACTGAGGAAAACGGGTCGTTCCAGACATTGTTCAGAAGAACAGCGTACCTTGATTAAAAAGTTGATTGGAGAGGGGGAAAACATATAAAGAAGTGCAGAAAATGATAGGCTGCTCAGCTAAAATCATCGCAAATGCTTTAAAATGGCAACCAAAGCCTGAAAGACGTGGAAGAAAGCGAAAAAAACTACCCTTTGAATGGATAGAAGAATAGCCAAAATGGCAAGGACTCAGCCAACAATCAGCCCCAGGAAGATCAAAGAAGGTCTAAAGTTACCTGTGAGTACTGTTATAATTAGAAGACACCTATGTGAAGCCAAGCTATCTGCAAGAAGGCCCCGCAAAGTCCCACTGTTAAAAAAAAGACATGTGCTGAAGAGGTTACAATTTGCCAAAGAGCACATTGACTGGCCTAAAGAGAAATGGTGCAACATTTTGAGGACTGATGAAAGTAAGATTGTTCTTTTTGGGTCTAGTGGCCGGAGACAGTTTGTCAGACAACCCCCAAACACTGAATTCAAGCATCATGATATGGGGATGTTTCTCATACTACGGTGTTGGGCCTATGTATTGCATACCAGGGATCATGGATCAGTTTGAATACATCAGAATACTTGAAGAGGTCATGCTGCCTTATGCTGAAGAGGAAATGCCCTTGAAATGGGTGTTCCAACAAGACAACGACCCCAAACACACCAGTAAACGTGCAACATCTTGGTTCCAGACCAACAAGATTGACGTTATGGAGTGGCCAGTCCAATCCCCGGATCTTAATCCAATAGAAAACTTGTGGGGTGACATCAAAAATGCAGTTTCTGAGGCAAAACCAAGAAATAGAGAAGAACTGTGGAATGTAGTCCAATCATCCTGGGCCGGAATACCTGTTCACAGGTGCCAGAAGTTGGTTGATTCCATGCAACACAGATCTACAGCAGTTCTCAGAAACAGTGCTTATAGGACTAAATATTAATTAAGTGATTCAAAGGAAAGCAAAATCTTCAAACATTTTTCAGTTTATATAGTGAATGTTTGAGTTTGTAAAGAAGAATACAAACACTGCTATTTTTTTTGAACAGTCTAATATTCACTTTTCTTCTATTTTTTTTAGAGGAACAGCACAAATTTGATATATTTTTCTTCATATTTTGATTTGGAATATAATGTGTAGTGTTCCCAATGCATTTGTGTGTATGGAAATAAAAGCTATTAGAAGGATTTTGAGCTTTATTCACTTTTTTCAACACACTGCTATTATTTTGAACACAACTGTAGGTACCAAATCAAATGCGAGTATAACAAATTAAGTGATTTTCACAGAAATACGCAAGTATGATGAGTAAACAATCCACATTGATTATCTAAATATAAATATTCTAGAAAGATATGGCTCACTGCTTGCTTCCTTCTGAAAATGCTAGTTTGGCTGGTATGCCAACTACTGGCTTTAAAACATTATGAGTCATAGACTCAGAACTATTATGCAGAACAGGCAGAGAATGTCCTAATCCACACAACTCTTTCAGATCAGTGACTCAAAAGTATTTAAGCAAGAGAGTCTGAACGACAGCCAGGTAACTGATATTTTGACAAGTCAGCACATTTTTCTTTAATGCAAGGTGGATTTGAAGATCATCACTAATCTGGGCAATTTAACGGGGCAGAACTCTGGGACAAAAAATTAGGTTAAACAGCCAATGATAAGATCTTTGGAGTGTTTATGAGTCAGGGTAAAGCAGTTTCTAGCACAGCACTAGAAGAAGTGATTCCTTAGAAGAAAGCCAGGCAAAAAAATGGCTGCATCCAGTTGCAGATCAAAGCAGTTGACAGTGGGTGGAAAGCTCAAAGTACAAGCCAGAATTTGGCCTCAGATTAACTTAAAAGGAAGTCTAGAAAACTTATTTGTTCCTGTTATGTCCTGTGCATGAGAAATGCTAATTTTATTTCACATTAAAGCCTAACCACAGCCCTTTTTTCTAGTTTTGGACAAATGGGAAAGAATCGGAATTTCTGTCAAACTTTATTTCTGTAGATCCAAAATTGATTAGGAATCAATTAAAAGAATACAACATCATAGCTTTTGATTCTCCATCATAAGGAGGGAGTAGTTCCTCCAGTTTTGAGTGGTGTACTTGTTTTTTCACTTCTTCTGTAGGTTGTTTAATTCCATCTCAAAGAATTTCCCTCACTTCATGTTGTCTTCCTGTCCCTTACAAGAAATGGGACAGGAAGGTACAGATACCATACAAAGAAGTTCTAAGAATGTTATTAGAACTTCTAAGCCTAACAGTTTAAATGAGGCGCTCTGTAAATGATAACACTGGCTAGCTACCATAGCTGCTAGCCCTGGCCAGCCCTTACTTCATTACTTTGATGGACAGCTTCACTAAAAATGTATGGGGTTGCAGGAGTGAAATACATTTTTTTCACTACAGGTTCACTTTCAGAGCAGTGTTGGACTTCTTTTCAGTGAATGAGCAGGGGTACTATGCACCTCATACTCATTCACATGAAGGGGGGGGCAGGAATCAGGATTGGGGGCCCCTTTGTTAAAGGGGGCTCCTGATTCTGATAAGTCACTCCCTGTATCTCCACAGCCACTGGGACCCCCCCCCCCAGTGGTTGTGGGAGTGTGACTTTATGAGATCTGAAAATCCCTTTAACAAGGAGGCCCCCTGATTCCAGCTTCTTGCCTCTATGTGAACGAGTATGTTGAGGGCATGTGGCCTGCTGGGCTGCATGCTCGGATACGGTTCCGGTTTAGATTTTGAAGGTGGAGGGGGGCAAGGTCCCCCTACAATCCATACCAGACCAGGAGGGCCTGGTTTGGATTTTAGGAGATCTGTGCGTCAATTAAAAAAAAAATGTTGGCCCTTTTGTTTACATTCTGTTGTCAGTGGGGATTGCCAGGGATGAAGGAAGAGTGTTAGGACGCTGGTGGGTGCTGACTCTTAACCACTGCAAAAAAGTATGGAAGTAAAGACGCAAAAATGGGCGTCAACCCTTTACCTCCACTCTGGTCCTTTTACACGGAACAGGACAGAGACCTATTCTGTAAAATTAAAAAAAAAAAACACAACATGGACCTGAAAAAATGCGTATGTAAACAGATGATCCCATAGAAATGCACTGTTGTCTATTTTTCATCCATCAACAAATGAAAAACGAAACACCTGTGTGAAAGGCTATTTCTTAATTTAAAGTTAGATATACTACACCGGAAAGTCTTGGATGAGCACAGACACTGAATACTTACCTTTTAGGTTCCAAGAGAAACAATACAGTAATAAATTCCAGTTTTTTAAATCAAGGATCCATATAGCGGATTTTTACCATGAGCTAAACACAACTTTGTCCATGCCCAAAATTGAACCTTATATTGTAGAAGTGAAGGGTTAAGTTTAGGAAGTATAAATGTTCAGCTCTTACTACAGAACCAATATATAAAATACTATGAAAAGCATACAATTGGACCTTCCTTTTTAACAGTTAAAGCACGTGCATCATCTTGCCTCAGGAATAATTGCCATATTTTTCAATTACCTTTAATGCACTCTTTAGAGAATCTTAGATTAGGGGAACCAACTGTCATACAGAGACTGTAACCTCTATGATTTATTTTCTAACACACTTTTAAGTGTTTGGTGCTGGTGTGGAAAATGTAGCTGTTGCAGATAATCGCAAGACAAAATTTCACATGTGCTAAAATTAGGAGCCCATGATTTTCTAATAACCATTTTGCCTCTCTGGACATACTACATATGTCCAGGGAGTGAAGGCTTTAACCCTTTCGCTGTCAAAGCCATTTTTTTTGCACGTTTAAAAACATTCCAAATTTCCATTTCATCCAATGGACTTTGAACAGAACTGAAGGTGGTCTGCTTGCATGTGCCAACCTATAGTTAGGATGCATAAACATCTATGTTTAGCATCTGACATGTAACCCTTTCCAATAAAAAATACATATATTCCATCACTTTAAATATAAAATTAAAAAGTAAATATAAAAAAAAGGAAAAACTTACGGCTTGATATGCAATATGCCAATCTGCAGTTGATTTTCCGGTACAATTGTTTGTTAAAAGGCCATAGGAGAAGAGTAAAAAGTTGAATACAATTAATGATAAGTCCAGTTCCAATAAACACATAGCTGATGAAAAGATGACAAAGGAATTGAGATTTTAGAAAGCCAGCGATGTTCATTTTTCACCAGGAGCTGATGACCAATATCCGCAAAGACCATTCATACAGTTAGGAGAAGACCTATGGAAAATATAAAGAGATGCAATGACCACAAAGTTTATATGATGTCAAAATGTAAATATAAATAAAATTGGTTAAAAGCCAGTGAACGTCCAGGGTAAATTATAGTGCTCAGCATAAATACAGTACATCCCGAAAAGTTGGCAAGATTTTTCCTGAAAATCAAGTATTTCACACAAAAAGGTATTGCATTAACACATTTTTGCAAAAACACATGTTTATTCCATTTGTATGTTTGGCTCATTACATCAAAGTAAGAAAAGCAAATATAACATAATGTCACACAAAATTCAATACAAACATTTTTACTCAATATTTAGTTGCACACCCTTTGGAAAAAATGAAATACAGTCGCTTCCATAACCATCAAAACTACTACACCTCTAGTATTTTGTGTGACTCTTCCTTTGCAAACAGCTGATTTGTAAGGACAGAGATCTCTCCACAGGTGTTCAATATTTTTTAGGCTCATTGCTGGCCAATCAGAAACAGCGCTTCTTTGGCATCCATATTGCAACATCATTGTTTGGAAGACCCAGGATTTTTCCTCCCTTTTCATGATGCCTTGCACACAGTTGCCAGAGGCAGCAAAACAACCCCAAAACATTTGAAGATTTTACCGTAGGTACTGTGTTTTGTTCTTTGTAGGCCTCATTCCGTTTTCGGTAAACAGTAGAATGATGTGCTTTACCGAAAAGCTCTATCTTGGTCTCATCTGTCCACAAGACTTTCCCCCTTTTGGCTTACTCAAGTACATTTTGGCAAACTGTAGTCTTGCATTTTTTTATGTCTCTGTGTCAGCAGTGGGGTCCCTCCTGGGTCTCCTGCCATAGCGTTTCATTTCATACAAAATGTCGACGGATAGTTCGCGCTGACACTGATGCTCCCTGAGCCTGCAGGACAGCTTGAATGTCTTTGGAACATGTTTGGCATTATTGGACTAGAGTCCGTCCACGCTCTAACTTGTTCTCTTGCGCAGACAAAGGCAAATCTAATGGACTTGTAACCTTGAGATTGTTGATATTTTGCCACCCATAGGTGCTTAGTGTTGCAAAGGTTAAGTGAACGTCTCTCCTTTTTATCTGCTTTGGTGATTTCTATATTCAGATCAGAAGGCATACTTGGCCACTGAATAAAGCAAAACATGTGTATATGCAAACGTTTCGTGAGAAAATACTTGATGTTAATGCAATACTGTAGTTCGTGAGTAAGATTTTCAATATCTCAATGGAACACATGATACTATTTCCAAAATTTTTACAAAAATATGAACACTTTCACCTGTGATTTCACCCCCCCATTCTTCTTCAGAAATGCAATAGTGGCCTTAGATGTGTGTTTTGGTTTATTGTCATGTTGGAAAACTGCACAACGACCAAGGGCAAAAAAGTGATGGTAGCATCTTCTCTTTTAATATAGAGCAGTACATCTGTGAATTCATGATACCATCAATGAAACAAGAATAGCTCCCTGGTCCCCTGGACCAGCAGCTCTCATGCAGCTCCACAAAACTACACTGTAACCACCATGTTTCACTGTAGGCACCATGCATTTATCTTTGTACCCATAACCTTTGCAACACCATGCAGTTTTGAAGCCATCAATTCCAAAAGTATTTATTTTTGTCTCATCACACCAGAGTCCCAATAGTCTTCTCTTTTTCAGCATGGGCCCTGGCAAATTCTAGGCAAGCTTTTTTGTGTCTGGACTTTAGGAGAGGCTTCCTTCGTGGATGACACCCATCCATGGCATTACTCTGCAGTATTGTGTCACAGGAAACAATCACCCCAGTTTGGCTTTCTACTTCTTTAGCTAACTACAGTGAACTTGCATGGTAGATTTCTTCAACCCTTCTCATCAGAAGATGCTCCTATCGAGGTGTTAATGGCCTGGACATCTCTGTGAGATGGTTGCAGTTATATCTTTGTTACATTTTTGAATCACTTTTGCTACAGTATTCTGACTGATAAGTAAAGCTTTGCTGATCCTCATGTAGCCTTCACCTTTCTTGTGTAAAGAAATTATTTTCTTTCTCAGGCCTTGTGACATTTCTCTTCTATGTGGTGCCATTGCTGAAAGCATGAAATAGGAAGGGGTTTTCTTTGTTAAGTAATGCCCTTTTATAATCAAATGTCTGCTGGCACCGGTTTAATGAATATTAGACTCACCTGTAGTTGAATTCTTGTTAATTAGGATTTTGTTGTCTAAAATTTAGCTTTGCGCCTAAGCCTTTCATTGGGGTGTATTCATTTTTGCAACATGGTCTTGAATGAATTTGTTAGGAAAAATACTTTTTGAGAGTGCAAATTAACAACTTATATTTGCACTCAATGACCCACATTTATGAGAGTATTTTGTAGTATAGTGTCCCATAGGAAATGTTGATTCTAAAAGGAAAGTTTTCTGACAAATATGTTGGGGTGTACGCATTTATGCTGAGCACTGTACATAAATGAGATATTCCCACCCAAGCACTTGGACTGAAATAGCATGCCACAGATTGTACATCAATTTATATAGCGATCCTTGGGGAAATTGCCGTTATGATCTGTGTTTTTTTTTATGAACAATCACAAATGGATTGTGGCAACCCTTTAATTGCTGGTGATATATAGATGGTAAGGAGATTTGCATAATGGATTGTGGCAAACAAAAAAAAACAAAAAACATACAATTTTCCATCAGGTCTAAATTATACAATTTGTGAAGTTTGACAAGTCCATGGGGTTTATTTACTAAAGCTGGTTCACTCAGAATCTCGTGCACCTGTGCATGGTAGCTAATCAGCTTCTAACCTCAGCTTGTTCAACTAAGCTTAAACAATAAAACCTATAAGCTGATTGGTTTCTATGCAGAAGTGCACAGGTTTATGAGTGTACTAGCTTTAGTAAATAAACTCCCATGTGAAATGGATATTTTAGATGCATCTTTTTTTGTATTGCTCGCCAGATTCCTATATCCCTTTAAAATGTAAAGCATAGATCCTTTTATTGGTCAAATACTTCTCCCAGACCTACCAGATCTTTCCTCCACTACAGAACATCACTCTTCCAAAATAAAATTCTTCATAATATAAAAGAAATAAAAATCAAGCAGGGAAAAGTGAGACCCCATCCTTCACAATAACCATGGGCAGCTGGATCGATCTGAGAATTCAAGTGTAGTCTTTAAGGCTAGGTGCACACTTATGCAGTTTGCGTTTGATCTGTTTCTGCAGTGCTTTTGCGGTGCGTTTTGCACATACGTTTTGAGTTTTTTTTTGTTTTCTTTTTTTTTCAGCTTGCTGCTGGGCAGAATAAAATGCAAAATGCATCCAAAGCACTATATGCTTTTCTGCAGCGTCTCCACTGAAGTCTATAGAACCAAAAAGGCAATGTTTTGCATTTAAAAAAGTCCTTGACCCTTTCCAAAAAACTCACCGGGTGAAAAGTGTAGCTGTGAACCTGTCCCATAGGAAATCATGTTAAATGGACTGCTGTGTGTTTCTGCAAAACGCAGCAAAAAATGCATAGATGTGAACCTAGACTAAGAAGCAATCCTTCATCAACAGAATCTTGGTCATCTTCTGTAGACATTTTCCATGAAGGAAATCTTCTTAACCCCAGCAACACTGTCAACTGCTGCTTTTTCTTTTATTACAAGTAAATTACAGACCAAGAAGAATCCTGTTTTTGCTACAGTACCAAAGCTTTGCAAAACACTACATCTGCCACACTGTGCATTTAGCAGCAGAAGAAAAAAGGACAACGGTACTGTGGTGTATTTATTGCCAATTTGTTCTGTAGTATGAAGTTCACTTCTAGTACTTATTTCCAATGAAAATACTCAGCTCTACAGAACAAATGGATCCATTGTCTTGTCCAAGGGAATTACAACATGCCTCGCTGCACAAGATTTTTATAGCCCGAAATAATGTGAATTTATGGTTGAACAAGCCTGATCTGTAATAGCATTGTGTCCTCGTGTTTTTTATATATTCTGAACTTGAAAGTAGCTCACATATAAAGACAAATTGAGCCATTTGACCTCTAATATCTGCTGGCAAAACATTAGAGTACCATTTTTAGAAAAGCAAGCTGTTTTTTTCTTTTCACATTGATAGCGGTAATTTAATTTCTGCAAAGTAATGAAAGCATCAAAAACACAAGTAATTATCTCAGTTCTCTAACCTTTCTGGACAGGTTCATAGACTTTTAAAATACTAATTGAATTTTATTGTAAACCTGAATAAGAGAGGTGATCATATATGGAAATCTTGACTTTTCCTGTGAAAGTCAACTCTGGTCATCAAGGTCAAGTGAGGTCAGCAATGAAATTTTAATTGAAAAGTCAAAAGTCAAGACACAGTATTTCACATAAGTGAGTACACCCCTCACATTTTTGTAAATATTTTATTATATCTTTTCATGTGACAACACTGAAGAAATGACACTTTGCTACAATGTAAAGTAGTGAGTGTACAGCTTGTATAACAGTGTAAATTTGCTGTCCTCTCAAAATAACTCAACACACAGCCATTGATGTCTAAACCGCTGGCAACAAAAGTGAGTACATTGTAGCAAAGTGTCATTTCTTCAGTGTTGTCACTGGAAAAAATAGAATAAAATATTTACAAAAATGTGAGGGGTGTACTCGCTTTTGTGAGATACTGTTTGCCTATAACTCCATTTATCTATGATCTATAGTCCATTTTGACAACCCATTTTTGCCTAAAGTGAACCTGTGATGTGTCCATGTTTGACAGAGCAACTCTACTTGAATTCTAGCTCCTGCATCAGCCTAAATTTACCTTCCCTTCATATCCTTGCCACTTCTGCTTATGCATTTTTTATTGGTTTGAATTGGTTAGGTTTGTGACAGGTGTATCTGAAATGGGTTCATGAAACTATATAAAAATACTGTTAAACCAAGAACGTATAATGTATCTAAAGTTGCCTACA